ATCATAGAACGTATATGTATCTTGTGGATTGTTTTCTAGGGGCTTGGGCTTCTAGCAATGATTCAATACCAGGAAAATAAGTAAAAAGTGGGCATCATTTTTTGAGAAGAGGAGAGAGGAGCATGTGGGAGGGGGGACAGTGCGAGCTGGAAGGTGCAGTTAGGGATAATCTGGGTCTAACTAAGGCTTCATTCATACAGAGGGAATGTGGAGTGGCTGTGATGCGGACGTGGGATCAGAACCCAGGGCTCTAGCTCTTGTCCTTCATACTTGGCTCTAGGATTTGGCAGTATTTTGATTATTCTGAGCCTCTCATGACACGCAAGGGTATTAGTTATTTTTGTTAGCATTATCCAAGGAGGAAGGTTTTGAAAAATTGTCATTATTGAGGATTATGAAAACGTTCTGAGAATCTGAATGGAAGTTATTCCAATAGTAACTGGAATGTTTTTTAAATGTTGGTTTTACACTGTAGTGTTGACAAATAATTTATGGGGGATAATACAGTAAAGGAAGAGCAGACTGCTTGGAGGGAGAGAATCCAGGACTGGATCTTAGAAACCTTAGTTCTAAACCCAAGTCTACCTGTGGTGACTGTGGCTCTTTAGATGGGTCATTTAAATGATCTGGGCCTTTGTGGCTTCATCTATAAAATGAGAGTAATCTATTAAAAGAGTCGGCTAAGGGTTTTTCCACTTTAAATTGTGGTTTGTGTCAGTCACAAGAGGGTTGTAGCCATTTGGGAATTTTATGGTTAAACCATATGATAATGACTTACTTTTGTTTGTGATTAGTTGCTCAATTCAGGTTCCGTGATCTTCAGACTTCATAACAAGATTTGTGCAAAGCATTGTGCGAATTTGGCATATATAGTTTGTAGGAGTCCTCTTTGAGGAAAGCTTCAGGTTTTCCCGGAGCTTGCTTTATTTGTCTGAGGGATGTGTGTGTTTCCTCCTCCTCCCCACCCCAAAACCTGGGACAGGAATCCTAGTGGCAGGGAAGTTTTAGAAAGCACTTAATCTTTTGCCTTTGTCGCACAAAATATACATTTAAGGCAATCTTTTTGAAGGTGGTAGGGCAGTAGTTTGGATTACAAAGGTGAAGATGAAAAGACACTTTTAATAGTCTTTCATTGATTCAGATTTTAGAATTAGAGCTGATTTGGTCCAGTCTTTTTACAGGTGAGAAAACAGGCAAAAGTCTGCATATTTGGTACATATTGGAGGGTTTAGACTGTTGAGTTTTTGCCATAAAAACAATTTGCCTTTTGCTATGTTGTACAGTGAAAGACTAAATGAAGAGCTAATAGTTTTTAAACAAGTACCACATCCTTACCCCTAAGTCTATGAGGTAGGTATTGTTATCTTCACTTATGAGCTAATTAGGATGTTAGGTTCAAAAAGGGCAAATGGTCCAAGGTCACAGCACTGATAAATGGTGAAATGATTCTATCTCAGGGCCTCCGCACATCAAAGCCTTTTCTAGCGTCAGTGCTTCTGTCTGTAGTCCAAAGGTGGAGGTTCCTAAGGTCCCCACAGCTCAGCTAAACCCCACCACCAGCACCGCAGTGTTACCAGTACAGGGGGCAGGGGCTGGGGTACGTGCTTACAGGCAGATAATGTCTCACTTTAACTTCACTGCCGCCCTTTGTTGCTGCTGTCATTGTCTCCATTTTTCCACAGGAGATTGAGGCCCAGAGAAGTTAAGCAACTAGCTCATGGGTCAAACTGGCAGAGGCAGCCAGAACTCCGGTTTGTCAGACCCCAGAGTAATCTCTTAACCATCTGGCTCTTGAACCTGAACCAAATGGTGAATTGTTGAAAATGGCCATATGAACTGGTTACTTTGTATAAGTCTCTTTGGATGTGACATTGCATAAAACTTAGCTCCAGCTTCACCTCATTGTGCTTTGTGTTCACCAGTGTGGTGGAGTTCTCGATTTCAGCTCAGGGCTTCCTCACCTCAGGACAGGGAGGCAAGCCTTTGCACAGCTCCTTTCTTGGGATCTGGGCTCTGGAAGCTGACTGCCCCACAAGGAGGAAGATGGGCAGAGCCAAGGGCAGCAAAGGGACAAGCATCCTGGACTAGCCATAAAGAAATGGAAGAGGTTTTCTTAGTGGCTCACAAATGGGCTCTAAAGACCCTGTTCTGACAAGATGACTGTTTTGAAGGATAACACCCATTTTAATTTGAAACGTGATAAATACATGAGGGAAAATCAGTTTTTTAACTTTTAAATCTCATCTTACGTTCTGTCCGTAGCTGATAAGGGGAGAATCCAGTTTGGGTAATTGTGCCATACTCTGTTCTTGTTAGGCCATTGGATGGTGCTTGTGGTTGAATTGAGAAGACTGACTTGAGGGGTCCAGTAATCCGCTCTGCGCTTGAATGCAGTGTGCATTTCAATATGTCCCCATGTGATTTAGAGCTCGGGGCTTTTCACACTGTGAAGCAATATTTTAGTGTAATTTTGTCACTCACATTTTATAATGTGACAGGCATTGCGGCTTTCCACATGATTGGTGAGGACAGTAAGAAGGGGAAATTGGCACAGGTGAAAGTTGGTTAACATATTTGAAAGACAGCTAAACAGGCCTTCCTTAAGTGCCAAGTGAAGCAGCTGTGGTAGTGAGGTGACACTCCAGCTCTCCGAATATAAGCCAGCATTTCACTCCTGTTACGGGGGTATTTTCAGAGTTCCTGCAGTGTGCAAGTGTACACTCATGCCTGTGCTTAAAACAGGGCAGCTTCCCGTGCGGAGAAGGCGGCAGCAGAGTAGCTACAGCTGGTATTTTGAGGGTTGAAAAACGTCCTTAGGGGTTCCCGTCAGATCCAGTTAAGGAAGCCGTTCCTTTTTCGAGATCATTATGGGAAACAGAATGAGGGAACAGAATAACAAGGGGAAATTAGAAAGTTTCCTGAAATCTTCAGAGTTTCTTTTGGGAACTCTGTAGTTCCTGAATCTGAGTCTTTTGCTGAGATGGTCAAAAGAAAGCTGCTTCCTCCCATCGTTTTATTTCTGAGGGTGGGGGTTACACAACTTTTGTCCTTTTCCAGCTTCTAGCTAGCCCGCTGGCCCTAAACCTAGGCTTAAAGATGCAGCCCAGGCCAGAGTCCCCTTTGTCTCTGATGAGCGGTCTACCATTTGGGGGACTGGACCCTGGGTAGCTGTTCTTCAGCCAGAAGCTGCCTTCTCTGCGAAGGTCGTTGCCTTCGGGACCGTTCGGAAGGCCTTCCATATATTGCCTCAGATGTCTCCTATTAATCCTTCTCCTTCCCTTCAAGTTGCTCTGAACAAGTCTGATTCTTCTATTGGACAGGTCTCCAAATATTTGAGGATAGTAATCATATCCTCCCAGAGACTTCTCTTATCTAGGTTAAACAGCTTCCCTTCTTGGAGAAATATTTCATGGTTTTGAGGCCTCTTTCCCTTTTCTAAATGCCTCTTTCTTAAGTATGTTATTCAGAAAGAGAGTTCAAATTTAGTCTAATAAACATGGAACAGATTAGTACTGTGACCAGTGCTGTACTTTTGGTAAATGCAGTCAAATAGTGTATAAGTTATTTTTCCCTGAGACCCAGCACACTAACTCATGTAGAGCTTACTTTCAATTAAAAATCTCCATTCTTTTAAAAACATTTATTCTCTTCCACTTTATCCACCCCCATTCAAGTTCAAAAAATTTACATTTTGTTTTTTAAGATTTAACAGCTTTTGTAGAGGTTATTTTGGAATCTGTTTCTGTCATAGCCTCATGTTATCCCCAACTTTAACGTCTGCCTTCTTTGTTTTCATCCAAGTAATTAGGGAAAACAGTTGAGTAATTGGGGAAAACAGGGACATATCTCTAAAAAGTTTACATATTGTCTTCAGTCCATTATCCTTTGAAACTTTGTAAAAAATAATCTTATAATTGAATTGAGCTGTACTTCTGTTTAGCCCCTATTCACTTTGTCTACAAAGATAGCATACAACCTTATCATAATTCTTAACTATTGTCCAGATGTATTGTGTCTACAGCATTATGTTGACTGGCCAGTTCAGTAAAACTATCCAAGAAGGAAATAACTTTGGTGTCACAGGCCTTAGTGAACCCATGCTGGGCTACAGTGATGGCTGCTTTTTTCCTAAGTGTTTAGAAGCCACCTCTGATTCTAGATCTATCCAGCATAAACACCAAATTGTTCTTCCAAGAGGCTTTTGTCAAGCTTTACTTCATTACTTTTCCAGTACTCTTCTGTTGCAGTCTCCTATCATTGTATCATTAGTTATATACTATTCTTTCCACTTCTGTTTCTTCTCTCTCGTAAACCTAAGTTTATTAAAGAATCCTCTTTAGTTTCCCACACCAGTTTCTGTAAGTTCCTCCCTTATCTCAGAATCCTATGAAATTATTTTGTTAGATTTACATTCTTGAGAGTTTCCTAGCTATGAAGCCATCCCTAAGTTCTTCTTAAATTAAAAAATAATTCCACCTAAAAAAAAATAAAAATTCCATCCTCCCAATAAATTAGGTAAATACTAGATCTAAAAAATGTTCTGAACTCTGTTTATCAAGTTACTGGTTTGCAGGTTCTTTTCAAAGTGACTGTGGATCCTTCTAGACCTTTTAGTCTTTACTTCTAAATCTGTAAAACAAGAACACGTGCCCCCCATGACTCGAAGTGTGTTATAAATAGAAACACTCTAGTGTTCTTTTAACTTTTGGAGGCTTTATGTCCTGTCAATTCAGGAGAATTATTGTCTTTTTTTCAGAAATGCCCCTTCACATGTAAAGTGTCACTAAAGTAGACGCATAGAATTGTATGGCGGGAGCACTGGTGGTGGACAGGGAGGAGGCAGTGCTTATTAAGTGTATACTGCGTGCCGGGTCCTGTGCTGGAAGTGATCCACTTAGTAACTGGGAGCTGGTTGGAATAATCATTTGGGGGATGATTGAAAGGTGGTTTTTGGTTCTAATTGTGGTGCAATTTGGATTGTTTTTCTTTTTCTTTTAAAGGCACAATGAGCAGGATGAGTACCTCACAGGACCAGAGTGGCTGCTCCAGTAATAGAGAACCCCTTTTGAGGTGTTGTGATGCACGGAGGGACTTGGAGCTTGCTATTGGGGAAGTTCTCCGAGCTGAACAGCAAATTAAAGATAACTTGCGAGAGGTGTGACGCATACTTTTCTCTTCCCTTGTCTGGACTCTAGCACGGGGCTGATGGGCATGGCCACGGGCTTGGCTTCTCAGTGCCAACTTAAAAGTTTTACCCCATGCCTGGAAGGGTCTGCTTGCCATGTTGGTGCCTTTGTTTCCAAAGGGAAATAAAGCAGATGTTAGAAGAGTCTGGAAAACCTTGTACCACTTTAGAGAATTCAGTTCAACATGCATTTTTGATTGCTCCTCTCTGTGGTCCCTGTGCCAAGCTCTGCCACCAATAAAACAACAATATGAGTGAGCAGCATACTGCTCAGCTGTATCCTTGATGTGCTTCAGCATGTCCCTTACCATCTTCTAACTTGATGGTGGCATGGTTCTGGTGGTGGCATGGTTCTGTAAATAACTTTTCTGTTAGAGCAAGACAGAATGAAATCTGTTCCATTAGCATAATAGTATTCCGTTGGTGAGTGGTGACCAAGTATTACATGACTTTGAAATACGACTTTATTATACAGAAAAATGTGTTTTAAAGTATAATTTCTTTTGTGGCATCTCATGGTTAATTTATAGCTGTATTGATTTTTTTCCTTAGGATTTTTATATTTATCTCCCTTGTGAATTACTATTTATGCTTCCAGAAACATTTAGTTTATAATTTTACTTAAACTGTCTACCCTAACAGTCCTTTGGCTTTTGACCTGTAGAGGTGCGTCTCTTTACTAAACTGGCCTACTGTAAATGGATTGCTCATTTGTAGGGTGAGATAAGGGATAGCTGTTAAGCCAATACTCTGTTTTATTCCACTGATAAATTTGTAAAGCTATAGGTTTTCAAATTATATGGTAAACTGAGGGGATCAATATCACGCAAACGGTCCTTGTACTTCCTCTTGATTACTTTAGGACACCCAAAATGAACCTGATCCTCTTAGGAGGAGGGGTATTGAAGGAGGATTTTAGAGCTTAGCTATTCCTTTATGGCTGGAAACCTTATACTGGGTCCTTGGGGCTTTAGTGGTTCCATGGGTGGGCTTTGGGACACTAAACCAAGAGGACTTGTGACCCCCAAAAGTTTAAGAACCTCAGTGTCTGTGGGAAACACCATTCTTTGGGCTTATAACACTAATGAAGCTACATGTATGTTTCCTAGGTCAAAGCTCAGATTCACAGCTGCATAAGCCGTCACCTGGAATGCCTTCGAAGCCGTGAGGTGTGGCTTCACGAACAGGTAGATCTCATCTATCAGCTTAAGGAGGAGACACTTCAGCAGCAGGCCCAACAGCTCTACTGGGTAAGGTGGCTAGGAAGCTATCGTTGCTTTGAGCATGGTTTCTGGTTTCCAAGGAATTTCGGTCTTGTAATGCAGAATTGATATAGATCAGATCAAAGTTTAATACCAAGTGCTATTTGCTGTTTTCTAACTCGGATACACTTGGGTTCCTTTAGTGTCATTGTGCTTGGATGGCTTCCTTTTTCTTACAGTTGCTGGGTCAGTTCAACTGTCTTATTCATCAGCTGGAGCGTGCCCAAAGCAAAGATCTAGCCTATCAAGTCTCCCTGTGCCTGGAGCGGTAAAGACCCTTTTGGCTCGTTTTGACTTTTGGCTCTTTGACTTTGGTGTATTAAAAAAAGTCAATTTTGTAACTCATTGCATGTGTTGGATTTAAGTTGACTTTTCTGTTCCTGTGATAAGATTATCCTTCTTTTTATATTTAATATACTTGGTCATGCATGGTTAACTCACTACCTTTGGTTGAGTTTCTTAGAAAAGTACAATCATTTCAAATTACAATTTAGCTTTTGTTTTGGGTAAAGTTGAAAGAGATAGTCCTTAAAAATAGCCAGGCTTTGTTCATTTTTTTCTCCAGACTGGGCAGTTTGACCCTCAAACCTGAAGATTCGACTGTCCTACTCTTTGAAACAGACACAACTGCTCTGCGCCAGGCCATCACCACGTTTGGGTCCCTCAAGACCATCGTGAGTAATGTTGATCTCTGATGATCATAGTTTGCTTCTTACGTCTGTGGCCTCACAGGTGGTCTTAAAAACATCATGTTTTTACTATGAATAGTGGCTTGCTTGAGAATTTGGTAAGCTTCAGAAATTTCATGTTCTGATTAAGTTGATACAGTTTGGGCTGCTAGTTCTTAGAATGTGGTATTGACTCATTGATAGTGTCTAGCATTAATCTTGTATCTTTTTAAATGCCTTTGACATATTTCTTATAAAATTTATGGCTTGAATGGTCTTTAATATAAAGAACCAAACATGATTTCATTCGGGTTTTGTGAAAAGTAGTAATACTACCAATTCTGGTGAAGATTCCTTATGATGATGATATTTATGTAATAGAGAATTCTCAGATTTGATAACTACCTTATAGGTCACCTCGTAGGTCATTGAAGTTAGTGTAAAGAATATTTATTCTAGGGAAATTGTAATGCTTTAATACTTTTGAAATTTAGGGATTGAAATTTCACTTTTGTGGTATGAAAGCATACCATTAATAACATGATTAATTTGACTTTATTTTATAGCAAATTCCTGAGCACCTGATGGGTCATGCTGGTTCATCAAATACTGGGTCCTTCCTGGATAAAAGAGGCTGTATCCCATTGCCAGAGCAGGTAAAATGTCATTTTGTTTCTGGTAACTGTGTTAACTTGGCTAATATTTTTTTTGATTAAATTGCTTTTTTTTTTTCCTGTGACCTTTTATTTGTAAAAAGTCACCATTGGTAATGAGTTAGTTTATGCAGTTAAATATTTCCCTTCTTACTGAATGTCAGATGGAAATTGAGAGGTTTTATAGGAGTTGAGTAAGAGAGAAAGTAATTGTTATCGATTAGTTCATAAGAAATTATCATTAGCCCTCTGATTAGTTTAGTTCTGTTTTGGGAATCTTTCTCTTTATAACTCATTTAGATGATTTACTTCTAAAGTCAGCGTGAATATAGGATCCTAGACGTTTTGAGCTGAGAAGAACCCTGGACATCAGCTATACTCCTTGTTTTATAGTTGTGAAAATGGAGGCTTAGGCAAGCCAAGATTAGCGAGCTTGGGTCCCCTGCTTTTCTGGTGAACTTTCTGCTGCATTTCACACTACTGAGTTAAGCAGCAAAGTATTATGTGATTAGCAGAAGTCAGCATCCAGCACCACAGCTGTCCCTCTGAGCGAATGGCTCCTTGGAAGCAAACCTGCCGCTGCTCGTCAGGCTCCCTACATACCCAGCGCCAACCTCCAGGACTGGCTCCCTCAAAAGCAGACCTTGGAGAACGGTCAGGTGTGTTGCTGCCTTTATTGTTTCTGAGGTAGATGCAGTAGCAGATGGGGTTAGTTACTGCTGATAATAGTTTTTAGGTCTAGTCTGGAAACATGTTTTTAATAACTTTTTGTTACAGTGGTGACACCTCTTCACTATAGATAGAAAGTTTAGAAAACAAAAAACTGTATAAAGAAATACAAACCCATAATCCCAACATGCAGAGACAGACACAGTAACATTTTTGTTTATATACTTCATTTTTCTATGCATACATATACTTTTAAAAAATCCTTCAGTAAATCTTGTTTTGGTTAGCAGATTTTTTTCACTAATAGAGCCTGAATATATTTCTCTGTCATTTAATTTCTTCCATAAAATCCTTAATAGTATATAATTTTTCATTGACTGACTGTGACTTAGACTCCAGTTTTTCTGGATATAAACAGAGTTCCTCTGAACATCCAGGAACTAATTATTTGTGTACATTCTTCATTAGTTTCTTAGAAGTAAATTCATAGAAATTGCATTCCTAGGTTACAATTCTGCATACCCTTTAAGACTTTTGATACAGAATTGCCAACTTGGCTTTCCAGGAAGTTGACACCAGTTTCTATTCCCACCAGGAGAGTATTGGGGTACCTGCTTCCTTGAAACTTCTCTAATAGTGGTAGTCACAAGTTTCTTTTTTTCTCTGAATTTGACACAAAATAGCACTTCTACTTTACTAAGGAAGCTGAATATTTTTCAGGTTTTAGCCTTCTTTGATGACTTGCCTAATCATATCCTTTGCTTATTTTTGTCTTCTTTATTCATAAAGATGTTTTATATAGAACTATTAACCTCTTTTCTACCAAAAACGCTACAAATGCTTTCTCCTAGTTCATCTTTAATATTTTTCACTTTCCTTAAAACTGCAGAAAATTAAATTTTTTATGTAGCCCAATATATATTTTAATATCTCAACAGAGAAATCCCTTGTCTCTTGGCTTTGTATAAATTTAGAGACATTGGTCAGTGCAGTAAGTATGCAAATAGAACTCTTTTATTGTGGAATCTCAGTGCAGTCATAATGTTCTGTTGAACTAATACTGGGTATTTCTTGTGTAGACTTCTGCCAGAGCCTGCACTTTCTTCAGTAATGTCTGGGGCAACCTGAAGGGCTTGGAAAACTGGCTCCACAAGAGTCAGCAACAAGAAGTTGCTGAGAAACCGAGTTATCAGCAGTCTAACAGTTGTTCTACCACCAGCTCTTCCTCTGCTGAGATGGAAAAGGTTGGAGATGAAGAGCTGCTGGAGCAAGATGACATGGACCTTTCTGATTGGCTGCTGACTCCCCAGGAATCCCATAAGCTGGAGAAGTCCAGGAATGACAGCTGTGACACCAGTGAGAAGTTCAAGCTCTTGTTCCAGGTGTTCCAGGAGTCCTATAATGTGAATGATTGGCTCGCAAAGCCTGACTCCTGTACCAGTTGTCAGGGCAACCAGCCCAAAGGTGTGGAGATTGAAAACCTGGGCAATCTGAAGTGCCTGAATGACCACTTGGAGGCCAAGAAACCTTTGTCCATCCCCAGCATGGTTACTGAGGATTGGCTTGTCCAGAACCATCAGGACCCATATAAAGTAGAGGAGGTATGCAAAGCCAACGAGCCCTGTACAAGCTTTGCAGAGTGTGTGTGTGATGAAAATTGTGAGAAGGAAGCTTTATGTAAATGGCTTCTGAAGAAAGAAGGAAAGGATAAAAATGGTATGCCTGTGGAACCAAAACCTGAGCCTGAGAAGCATATAGATTCCCTGAATATGTGGCTTTGTCCTTCCAGAAAAGAGGGAACAGAACAAGCTAAGGCACCAAAAGCAGTGGCTTCTTCTAAAATCGCTGATTCCTTCCAAGTCATAAGAAACAGTCCCTTGTCGGAGTGGCTCTGCAGGCCCTCATGCAAAGAAGGATGTCCCAAGGAAGTGCCTAGTACTGAGGACAGAACTGGCAAACAAAAGCTTACGAGCCCTGTGGCCTCTTCCTGGTGTCCCTTTAATACAGCTGACTGGGTCTTGCCAGGAAGGAAGATGGGAAGCCTCAGCCAGTTATCCTCAGGAGAAGACAAGTGGCTACTTCGAAAGAAGGCCAAGGTGAGCACAGACATCAAAACAGCATTTGAAATATACTTAATAAAGTTTTACTTTCTTAATCCCATACCTTGCAAGTGGGCCACATCCCACTTGTTAAATGTGAATTTTGGCTTAACTATTAATTTTGGTGCCATGTTAGCAACAGAATAGAGGATTTGTGATTATTCAGACTGAAAGTTTTGTGCATTTTCCAGGCCCCTAACCCCCATCCTGCAGGAAAGAAAAAAACTCAGCGTGTTTTATTGCTATTTATGGAAAAGATTAGGGGTAGAGAAAACAATTGTCACTTTTGCTCTTGATTGTTAGAGAGAATGGCCAACATTTAAATGATTGTTTATAGACATTACACTATTTGGGAGATGAGTTAAGTTGGTCTCACGCAGCCAGCTGTCCTGCAACCCACCCTTTTTGTCTTCTTGCAGGAAGTATTACTTCATTCCCCCCTGCAGGAGGAACATAACTTCCCCCCTGAGCGTTACGGCCTCCCAGCAGTTTGTGATCTCTTTGCCTGTATGCAGCTTAAAGTTGACAAAGAAAAGTGGCTGTATCGAACTCCTCTACAGGTAGGTATATGCCACTAGTGTAAATAGTACAGAGTTTAGCCCCTTATGTGTTCTGTCTTATATATGAATCCATTCTTTGCCCATGAAACCATATGCCTATTAATGGTATGTACATTAGGGAAGTGAGGGTGGGAGGGAGATCATAAAAAGTTCACATATTTTGCTTGAACTTGCTTTATGAAATAACCAGGACATACTTGAAAATGACCTTTCAAGATGCTGTAGCTGTCAGGGGAATGATGTAGCTCTCAGAGCCTGTGTGGATTCTAATAGCTTATTGAGAAATGAGTCAGAACTTCAAGGTGGGAGAAATGTGCTTGTATTCCACTGTGAGTGACTTTTCATCTGTGGGCTTTTCTTTGCAGATGTGAAGCAACAGAGTACCACTGTCAAGCAACTTTTCTGCAAATTATCACATCCATGAGCCGAGTGACTGTGGCTTGCCAAAGCTTTGTGTTTCTGGGTCTGACTAGTCAGCTTCGTTCCTTTCCTGCCTAATTTTGAACTAGTGAAGAGAATAAGTCATCAAATCATGAGTTACCATGTAAAAGAAAAAGGCTGTTTGTTGATGCTGAGGTGATTCATTTCCTTCTTACAGAAGTATTAATTCACCCCTTCTAGAAACACGGCATCTTGGTGGATAGGTCTTTTTCATAAGCCTCCAAGGCTCCTTAGATTGGGTTGTTACTGGAAGTACATTAAAACACTGTAGCTTCAAAAATGAAATAGTTCTATAATCAGGGTGTGTTGAGGTATTCTAAAGCTAGTCAACTTCCCTAACCTTGACCTTTAGATGCTTCCCTTGCTGTAGGTTTTCTTCCGTTAGTGATGGAAACAATGATTCTTCTGTTTAATAATTAATATATAGTATATGTTACACAAATAATTAACCTTACCAATAATAGTGAGTTTTTCTTACCAAAACGTGTGTAACAGTCTTGGCAATTTTTGCTATTAAGTACAAAACATTTTAGCCTACAGGTTAGGTTCTACATTATTTTTCTTCTTTTGAAAGAAATTCAGCTACTGCAAATTTTGTCTTTATTCTCTTCTCTAAATGTAAAGTATCCAGCGAGCTCTTTTAAGAGGGGTGCAGTATTGCTTCAAGACTATATTCAGGGTAGTCCTAGCCTCTTTCAAAATACTCTGAACTACAGGCGCAGAAGAGCCCCAGGGGCGACTATCAGAGAGCAAAAGGCAAGACGTGGTGGAAATGTAGTACTTGAACTATTCACTAGCCTAAGGGTTATTGGTGCATCCTGTGTAAACGCGAGCTGAGCTTGACACCTGGTGCTTTTAACTAGGAAGAAAGTTCATGTCCTCTCACTGCAAGCAGAGCCTACATATACCTCTAAAAGTAGAATGCAGTGATATTTTCGTGAACAGGCCGTTGTGAACACTTGTGCCTTGGGGTGTTTATTGAAGCTTTATGAAAACTTGATGTTTTCTCAATATCCTTAAAGTCATGTCCATGCTTTAAAAAGTTTTTCTGTAGGAGAGAAATGAGATTTATAATGTTTTTAAATTCTCCGATATCTTAGATGCTTTCCAGGCTTTTAAACTATTAAGCCAGTCAATTTGTGTATGTTATTGGAAATACTTTCAAGTTTGTGATTTGCTCATCTAGAATGCCCTTTTGGGGAAACTTACGAATCTCAGTGTCATTGCCACTCAGCTTCATTAGAATTCTTGAACCACAGCTGAAAAGAGCCTCCTATTATTTTTCAGTGTCCCCAGATACCTATTTAGAACTTTAAAAATAAAGGTGGTGGTAAAAACTTAAGGAGCCTTTCCATTATCTTAGGTTGCAGGAAACTTTATAGTTGAGTTTTAATATACTGTGTAGTCCTAAATTTACATTAATCACTATGCTAATGAGTATGTAAAACATTCTTTTGCATTGATGCATTTTGTACCTCCCTCCATTAAAAGCATAACAGCCGCAGTTGTTGTGTGTATCTGTAAAACGACTCTGTCACAAAATGTTCTATCATATTATATAAGCGTGATAACCGTTGCTTAGGAGTACAGCTCAACTTGAACATAAATTGAGGAATATCAATGTATTTTACAAATCTAAAATTAGCAAAGAATAGGTATATCTTTACTGACTCCCATTTTCAGTCTTTTTCTGCAAACTCTTCACATCCACTCTTTAATTTTTAATCTGCTCTGTTGCAGATGCAATTTAAAATATTAAATTTTTTTTTTTTTTAAACAAGAGGACTTCAGCTAAGGTTCAGTGCTTTTCTGCCCAATTCCTTCTTAGTAGATGCATCCACAAGGGCCCTAGTTGACTTTTTCCAGTCATAATCACCACCAGTTGTTTCCTACATTACTCTAATGGAATATGGTTAATCTGAAATATCTTGAGGTTGTTCACTGTCAACTCTATTGGAGAAAAATCTCCTAGCTGTTAATGCTGTCGGTAGCCCTTCATTTCAACACAACCGTGACATGTTTTAGTCTCTGGGGCAGAAAAAATACAAAAAGAAAGAAAAGAATAATTTTCACTTTATACCCAGAAAGATCTTTTAATGGAGATGCCCACTTTGTTTATGTTGGAGTTATGACTTTGGTTCTGTTTTCACCCTTTATTGGGAATACAGGGCAATATTATACTTTTGAGTCATTAAATGAACAAACATGGTATTACAGTATGGATGACAAGCATGACCTGAACTCTGGGAGTAAGTGGCTGTCCAGTTCAGGGGGTAGGAGAGAACAGGTGCAAGATCTTCTTCAAAGGAGAAGAGAACCACATTACTCAGCCACCAAAGGGTTTTGGCTTCAACTCATTAATGGCTGGAAGGCGTGCCAGTCCTGGTCAAACATCCGTGGTCTTCATCACAGCAAACTGGAATCCCCAATTTTTCAAACTAATTGTAGGCAGAAGAGAGAATAACTCCAGACTGACTTATAAATTGATCTGGATAACTACTAAAGTGTCCTCCATTCACAAGCTGGCAAAATTTTCAGAGTGACTGTTGGAGCAAGGAGCCTTTCATGTGCTCCCAGTTGTTATATAGAGCATAGAGGCTGGTAAGTGTTAGTCCTGTTAGACCACCTCGTGCTACGCCTCGAAGACCACCTGGGGGAGAGAGAAGAAAAAAACAGCCTTGCATTGTGTAGTGTTCTAGCATCAAAGGGTTAAATAAGAGTGTCACAAAATTGAGACACACCATTCATGATTATAAGTATTCAATCCCAAACAAGAGAATACAAGTTTTAATGTAGGAAACCAAGACTAGGAGAGAAATCCCCTAAATTACTTAATACGTTTATTTTCATATTCACAACCTTTTTTCACTTTTCACAATTTGTACCTAAGATCATCATCTTTAATAACTTCTTGATTTTTCCCCATCCAACTTGTTTCCACAACACTTTTGCACAAGATCTTATGCTTATTATTATTAAAGTCCCAGCCAGATCAATAATTTCCTGCTGGTCATATAGTTTATAACTTCACTGGCATTGTCGATTGATTGAAGGCTGCAGTGTCAACAAGGTGACACACTCTGGAAACAATACTATCAGCCTTTGGACTCTGGACAGGTCCTCTAAATATTAACTTTGAAGACTCAAGAAGCAGTGGTGATAAGACGGGTATAAGCAAGCTCTGAATCAGGAGCTGATCACTGCTCTCTCCCACACTGTGTCAGACAGTCTAACACAACTAATGGGCAGTGAGGCGCTTAGCATCATCATACTAGTTGAAAAACATTCAAGGATTAGACTTTGAACTACTTTTGCTTCACAAGAAAACAATTTTTCATGTGGAAAAAGATTGGTAATAGATATTTCATATGAAATGCAGAAACGAAAATGTTTCAGTTACCTGAAAAATAGCTCCCAAGTCTAATAAGAGGAATGGAGGTAGCAAAAGCAGCTTTAAAGAAATACTTCTTACAGTTTCACAAACAAGCAGGGACCATGAACTTCGGGCAGTCTGTACTGTGCCAATGGAGTACTTGTTCCAAGTCATGTGTTAGGAAAGCAAAGTGGATTGGAGCTGTGGTCCAGTGGTTACCCCACTAGAGGCCCTGCAGCTATGAGTGAGTAAATTCTGTGAAATTCAGTGATGTGACCGAGTTAGAAGACTCCAGACTAACCACTTCTGCAATGACTGTCCTGCCAGGTGGCTTCTGCTGATAGATTAAAGGGCCACTCCCTACAGGGGCCTCTCTAGTCTGAAGACTTCTGATAGCCGACCTGCTTAGGCTTCCACTATGAAGTGCCCTAATTATCTCTATCAAACAGACCCCAAAGAAACTGCAGACACCATCTATAAACAGCTGTCAAATATGTGGGAGGGGGACAAACGTTAAAAAAGTGAAGTAAATGGGAACTATCTCCTTGAAGTCCACGTCATTTCTTTGTATCATCTTGCCATATTTAGACTAGGCATGGCAGCTGAGTTGCAACTGCATTCAATGTGGTTGAAAAATTGTAAAAGTAATGTGCACTCAACCTGCTCACTCACAACAATCTGTTCAGTTTAATAAGGATCTACCTTGCTTTGACCAGTAAGTCAATAAAATGTTGCAGGATCTGAAAGTGAACTATAATTACACCAAATACCTAAAAATGGAAAAACTAAACTATGAAGCACAAAAGAAAAAAGGCTCAGGGGGCCGGCCCCATGGCCAAGTAGTTGAGTTCATGTGCTCCGCTTCGGCAGCTCAGGGTTTCACTGGTTCGAATCCTGGGCGTGGACATGGTACCGCTCATCAAGCCATGCTGAGGAGGAGTCCCACATGCCACAACTAGAAGGACCCACAACTAAAATATACAACTATGTACCAGGGGGATTTGGGACGAAAAAGGAAAAACGAAGTCTTTAAAAAAAAAAAAAAGGCAGCTCAGCTATCTGCAACAGCATCACTATGGCTCAGTTATTAGACCTAAACTTTGAGTGTAATGAGGGTTCTTTCAAGCAGCTTACAACATAACACTACTCTAACTCCATTCTGAATCAACACAAAGCAAAGCAAAAGCTAAGGTGGCCTTACTGCTGTTTGTTAGTAGAAAAATGATGGAGAGCAGGTTATTGAAAGAAGAATTTTGCAGACACTTTCCTGGGACCAAACATTCAACTTCAGACTAACTGCCCTCGGCCTGTAGTTGAGTACAGGTCCACAGGACTCTCCAGTCTGCCGGCTGGTTTGGAAAGAGCCGCACACTGTTCCTTCCAGTGGGCCCTTTGCTTTGAGCGTCCTAAGGACACGGTTTCTACTTGGCCCTTTTGGAAGGATTTTCACACTAGTTCTCAGCTATCAAATAACAAGCCTCCTTGGGCATAGGTGCCAGGGGTAACACAATGACATTGAGAACTGTAAGGCTTTAAGATCTTTGGGACATCAGTGGCATATTAAGGTTCCCTTAAGAATCATTTATCCCCCAGAAAGCTTTCTACTTTCTGGCCAGAATGAAACAAACTTAGTTCAAATGAATTAGGTAACTTTTTCTAGTCTTCAAAGAAAGTAATTTCCAGCAACAAGACACCAAACATACATAGTCTTTGATTTACTAAGCACAGTTAATCCTGACTCAAGGGTAGCCTTTTATCACATACCAGCCATGTTTTAGTTTTAACTCTTTCCATTAACTCCAGAGTTTTCCAACTGGTTGATGTGTTAAGTTTGAGGGCCTTCAACAGGCACATGAAAAGATGCTCATCATCGCTGATCATCAGGGAAATGCAAATCAAAACTACACTAAGATATCACCTTACACCCATGAAAATGACAAAAATATCTAAAACTAATAGTAACAAATGTTGGAGAGGTTGTGGAGACAAAGGAACCCTCATACACTGCTGGTGGGAATGCAAACTGGTGCAGCCACTATGGAAAACAGTATGGCGATTCCTCAAAAAATTAAAAATAGAAATACCATACGATCCAGCCATCCCACTACTGGGTATTTATCCAAAGAGCTTGAAGTCAGCAATCCCAAAAGTCCTATGCACCCCAACGTTCATTGCAGCATTATTTACAATAGCCAAGACATGGAAGCAACCTAAGTGCCCATCAACAGACGAATGGATAAAGAAGATGTGGTACATATATACAATGGAATACTACTCAGCTGCAAAACAGAACAAAATCATTCCATTTGCAATAACACGGATGGACCTTGAGGGAATTATGCTAAGTGAAATAAGCCAGCGAGGGAAGGATAATCTGTGTATGACTCCACTCATATGAGGAATTTAAAATTATGGACTAAGAACAGTTTAGTGGATACCAGGGGAAAGGTGGGGTGGGGGTGGGCACAAAGGGTGAAGTGGTGCACCTACAACACGAATGACAAACATTAATGTACAACTGAAATTTCACAAGATTGTAACCTATCATTAACTTAAGAAAAAAAAAAAGAAAAAAAAAAAGTTTGAGGGCCTTGGCTTTAGGCTTTCTGTAATCAAATTTCTGCCCAACGGAGCACAGGAAGGTGATTAGCAAACACACTTGCTTTGAACAAAGAGTAACCAAATAAGGCCAACGGTCAATCTCTATAAAGCAAAATAAACACGAGACCTATGCTTCACAGTTTCACCTTCTATCTTTTGGATCCTTACACAACTCTTCCAGAAAGGGCAAATATTCCCTCTTCTAAACACGGGAAGATGAGGCCCGGAATATTCAAGGTGCTTTGTTTGTGGGACATAAAGCTGGTTACTGGCAGAGCCAACATATTAAACTGACAATTACTTTAGGGTAGGAATCAGCAAATTTTTCTTAAAACAGCCAAAAGTAAGTATTTTAGGCTTTGAAGGCCCAAAGGATATTACGTAGGGACTTACATAACCATTTAAAATTTAACTGCTTAAAAATGTAAAACATTTGTAGCCTGCGGACAGCGAACAGCCAGACATCTGGCCAGCAGGAGTTGGCCACTGCTGCAGACGAATAGCGCTCCCTACACACTGAGATGGCTACT